AAAAAAAACAAAGAAAAAGAAAAAGAAAAAAGGAAACACCATAGATTTTGGTTTAAAAGTTAAACCATAGATCTTGGTTTAACTCAAAGGCTTATCACAAAAATGCAAAAGCCTTAAGAGACTGATAACTGGTTTCACAAATGTTTCTTCATGTTAAATAAATAGTATAATCAAAGTACATACGCAACACGAAAACTTATTTGTAACGTGATAAAAGACAATTTTTTTTTTTTTTAATTGAGACGAGTCTCGCTCTGTCACCAGACTGGAGTGCAGTGGCGCGATCTCGGCTCACGGCAACCTCTGCCTCCCAGGTTCAAGCCATTCTCCTGCCTCAGCCTCCCAAGTAGCTGGGATCACAGGAGAGCACCACCACGCTTGGTTAATTTTTGTATTTTTAGTAGAGATGGGGTTTTACTGTGTTAGCCAGGATGGTCTCAATCTCCTGACCTCGTGATCTGCCCGCCTCGGCCTCCCAAAGTGCTGGGAATACAGGCACAAGCCACCACGCCCGGCCTAAAGACAAATTTTTAAAATACACAGAGCCCTCAGAGACTAATCAAAAATCTCATTTGTTGCCCGGCGCAGTGGCGCGTGCCTGTAGTTCCAGCTACTCAGGAGGCTGAGGTGGGAGGATCGCTTGAGCCCAAGAGTTCTGGGCTGCAGTGCACTATGCAGATTGGGTGTCCGCACTAAGTTCGGCATCAATATGGTGACCTCCCGGGAGCGGGGGACCACCAGGAGGAGTGAACCGACCCAGGTCGGAAACGGAGCAGGTCAAAACTCCTGTACTTATTAGTAGTGGGATTGTGCCTGTGAATAGCCACTGAACTCCAGCCTGGGCAACATAGGGAGACCGTCTCTGGAAGAAAAAAAAAAAAACAAACAAACCAAAAAAAACACCTCATTTGTTAAGCCAGGCAAATATAAAGATACATAGATGGCTTTAAACCAGGGTTTCTCAACCTCTGCACTATTGACCTTTTGGACTACATAATTCTTTGTTGTAGGGGCTGCTTGTGCATTGTAGGATGTTTACCAGCATCCCTGTATTCTACTCTTGAGACATTGGCATCCCCATTCAATTGTGACTATCAAAAATCTTTTCATATATTACCAAATGTTCTCTGGGGATCAAACGGTCCCTGGTTTAAATATACAAAAAGATCCAAATCCACACTTGTGATAAATGCAAATTTTAACAATAATGAGGTGACACTTTTTTCTTCTTAGATTTTCACCATTAACTATTTTGCAGTTAGCCAACATGTGGGATTAGGAGATCTCATTTTTTTTTTTTTTAATGGTAACAATGTTTTTTATTGTGCAGCAGGGGCTGCTGTCCCATCACGATGGTCCCAACCCATGGAAGGCTTGGCATATATACACAAGTAAAACTGTAGGCTTGAAGTCTTTAGTTTTTATCCCATTTGGTTTTTAGAGGAAATCAAGGATGAGAAAAAGACCTCACATCCTGGAAACATAAAGAGTAAATTGATACACACATCACATTAGAATGACACTTACTGTGGACATATTTTTCTTCTTTAATATACGACTGCTAACTTTCTGAAATGTTCACTGTCAGTATTAAAGCTTTGGAAATTATCGCAAAAAAACCAGTAACCACCTTTAAAAAAGGTCAATTACATTCTGGAAAACTTCAGTAAATAGGAAGGTTAGGTTACTTGAGAAAAGCAGGCATAGAATGAAAAAAACTGTCTTCTATCACTGGCATTGGTTTTCAAAATGATAGCCTACCAAATTGAGTGTTACCTGAGTAAAAATGTAGCCTTTTAAAACAGGTTGCACTGTGATATAATTCTGTGTCTGTGAAGCTAAAAGAAAAACTTTTCTAGATCATGAACCTAATTTACCATGTGGAAAATCACTTAAAAAATAGGGGGAAAAATCCACGAAGAGAACCTCGCTTTTTTTTTTCTTTTTTTTTTAAATGTGGAACGCTTCATGAATTTGTGTGTCATCCTTGCACAGGGGCCATGCTAATCTTCTCTGTATAGTTCCAGTTTTACTATATGTGCTGCCAAAGCAAGCCCTGAGACCCTCTCTTTCTGTAAACATGAGCCTTAAAAAAAAAGACAACGATGACTTAAAGTACTAAGGTGAGAAATAAGGGACCTGGGTTCTAGTTCTGGGTAGATAATTAATTTATGTAATTCAGTAAGGCCTCTCTGGATCTAAAGTATCCTATTAATAAAATAGAAAAATGAAAGTTAGGCAAGAGAAAAAAATTAGAGAATCTTAAGTTTCCTATAAGGGTAGGAGTCAGCAAACCTCCTCTGAAAGTGTCAGAGGGAGCCGTGGTGGCTCAGGCCTGTTGTCCTGGTGCACAAGGAGGCGAGACTACCAGTTCAAGGCCAGCCTGGGAAACCTAAGAAACTCTCATCCATTAAAAAACAAATCTGGCCAGGTGTGGTGGATCATGCCTGTAATCCCAGCACTTTGAGAGGCCAAGCAGGTGGATCACCTGGGGTCAAGAAGCTGAGACTAACCTGACCAACATGGAGAAACCCCGACTCTACTAAAAGTACAAAAATTCGCTGGATGTGGTAGCACATGCCTGTAATCCCACCTACTCGGGAGACTGAGGCAAGAAAATCGTTTGAACCTGGGAGGTGGAGGTTGTGGTGAGCTGAGATCATGCCATTGCTCTCCGGCCTGGGCAACAAGAGAGAGACTTGGCCTGTAGTCCCCACCACTTGGGAGGCTGAGGTGGGAGGATTGCTTGAGCCCAGGAGGTTGAGCCTGCAGTGAACTCAGATCATACTGCTGCACTCTGGTGTGGTTGACACAGCGAGAGCCTGTAGTTCAGAGTGACCGGGGAGGCCTCAGGAAACACAGTCATGGCAGAAGGTGAAGGGGAAGCAAGGCGTCTTCATCATAAGGCAGCAAGAAGGTGAAGTCAGGAGATCACTTTTATCCTTTGGTTGTGTACCTCTTCTGGAGGGTTATGTGGCAATATCTATCGAAATATAAAGTGCATTTACTCTCTCTCTCT